AGAGAAATCAAAGTTGAAGAAATGATTTAATGATAGGTATTTCTGAGTACTATGCAGCAGAGTTATGTTTTAGTCTCTCTTCTTAACTACATATGTTATTTAAAACTACTTTTGAAAAAGAAAAATAAAATTCTGAAAGATTTAACCAACCCCCCCTTGACTGAAAACTTCATATCCAAACTAATTTTTTTTTTTTTTGCCACTGACTCAAATGCTTAGAGGATTAAAGCTTCAAGTTTAAAAAAAAATTAGACAAGACCTACCTGCAAGGTCCTGTACCGGGTAGACAGCCTGTTCCCAACATGTTTCCTCACTAGGACTTGTGGATAAACTGTGTTCATCATCAAGCTGGAGCACAAACCAAACCACAATAGCATCTAGCATGCCCTCTTTAGTAACAGGGATGCTAAATTTATCAGGTTTTTTAGATGCAAGACTTTTCAATTCCTGAGAAAAATACAAAAGGAATGAGAGGATTTTATACATTTAATATGTACATGCCTCAAGATCGTACCATTTTCCATCTCTGAAGTTCTTAGTCCTACCCAACTCCCTTAGGGAATCAGTATCTTGGCACATCTATACCATCTAGGTACACTGGATGGGAGGGAAGCTCTAACCTATCATATTGGAATATCATGCAATTATTATTTTTAAAAATGAGGCAGATAACATATTACTGATATGGAAAGAAGTCCATGATATATTGTAAAATGAAAAAGGCAACTGGCAAAGCAACAGGGATTGTTTTGTTTAAAAAGAGTGTGTGTGTGTGTGTGTGTGTATGCGCGTGCATGTGTGTGTGTGTGTGTGTGTCTTGTCTGTAGAAGAACAGAAAAGCAAGTCTGAAAAGATGAACTTCAAACTAGGGAAAGAAGGGGTGTGATTTTTAAAGGTAAGAAAAATACTAAGACTTTGTCTTTTCTATTCTTCCGTACTGCTTGTAAGTGTTAAACAGGCAGACATTACCCTCAAAATTAAAACCTTTGTAAGGCTTGTGTATGGCAAAAACAACTGAAATAAAAAAAGGCCTAAAGTAAGAAAAAGATAGCTTTGGGGTAATTAGCAGCTACAACCATGTTTTAAACTATTGAAATGTTGTATCAGATAAGGAATGCTCTTGAAGCTCAGAGAGACAGCTCAGTCTCAGTACACAATGCATAATTGTTAAATTAGTTGCAGACCACCTCAAGAACAACCTAGTGACAATTAACAGAGGAAAACTTCTATTAAATTATAAAAATCTTAGGATAAAATGAGCCTCACAAAGTCTTATCCCCAGACAAGTTTCACTTATAACACTTACATACTTCAACATTTAATCTTACTTAAAGATCTTCAGAGAAGGATTCTATGTAACATTTCCCAATTTCTTTGGGCACTTTCTTTATATGGCACATCCTCTCACCACCTACCAACACACACATATATACACAAGGATGTTCAACTTGTCCTGCTCTCCCTAGGGCTGTCTTGGTTTTAAAACTGACCCATGGCCGGGCACCGTGGCTCACGCCTGTAATCCTAGCACTCTGGGAGGCCGAGGCGGGCGGATTGTTTGAGCTCAGGAGCTGGAGATCAGCCTGAGCAAGAGCGAGACCCCGTCTCTACCAAAAATAGAAAGAAATTAATTGGACAACTAAAAATATATAGAAAAAATTAGCCAGGC